GTGTGAGCCGGTCTCCACAGTCTTATAGATTTCTAGGCGGAAGGAGCGGAGAGGGGGGATGTCAGGGGTTTGGCAGGAGCGGGGGAGCTGGCACACCCCCAGTCTAAGAGCGTGGGCCCCAGAGCTCACAGCCCTGGATGGGAGTCCGCCCCTGATACTTTTTAGCTGTGTGATCTTGGGCAAGTGGACTCCCCTCTCTGGATTTGTCTCCTCCTCTGTAAAACAGGGTCCTACCCACTCTTCTCTCGCATCATCTGTAAAGCGCCCACTCAGTACAAAGCTGGCACCTAGGGGGGCTGCTCTGCTTGCTCAGGCCTCCACAGCGCTTACCGCCTCAAATGCAAGTTCCATTGCAGCCTACGGGTCAAGGGCATTGGGTCTGCTGCCTTCAGGCTCTGTGACCTCGGGCAAGTCATGTTCCCTCTCGGAGCCCTGGTTTCCCCCTATTCTCTGCAAAACAGCAACTTGACATCAAGTTCCCTGCCTTCCAACCCAGGCTCACCTAACTGAAGCGCTGTGTAACTTTGGGCCAGTGAATTCCTCTCTCTGTGCCAGATTCTCATCCATAGAGCAAGGACCGATTTTGGGATTACAGTGTGAAATAAGTGAGCTGAGGCAGATAAAGCGTGTAGCACAGTCTGCGTACCGTGGTCACGCTAATGTGTGTTAAAGAGCGCTATTTGCCAGGCGCTATTCAAAGCACTCTACAAGCGTTAAGACATTTAAACCTCACAACCACCCCTTGAGGAAGACACTATTATTATACCCATTTTATAGATGGGGAAACGGAGGCACAAAGAGATTAAGTAATTTGCCCAAGGCCACGTGGCTACGAGGCTGCAGAATGGGGATTCAAACTCAGGAAGTCTGTCCAGAGACTGCTCTCAACCCCTGGGCTATGCTGCTTCTCTGCTAATGTGATATTATTATTGTTATTATTTCATTATTATTATTAATTGCTTCCTCCATTAGCTGGTTAGAAGGCAAAGTTCATTCTAGGTAGCAATGGCTTCCAGCGGGAAGAAAATGAGGAAGAGTGTATTCTAGTGTAGGAAAAGTTTGGGATCGGCCATGAACTCCTGGGTCAACTGGGGCACCTGTTTTAGGCCTCAGCAGGTGGGGGGGGGGGCCCGAAATGGTGGAGACAGGATCTGATGAGAGAGAATGGGAGAAACCCCTTCGCTGGGGCCCCTTCTTCTCCTCCTCCCCACTCTAGCCAGGCCAGTCCCCATCCCTCACAAATAAGCCCCATCTTGGCCCAGGGGTTACTCAGCAACCCCCAAAGGAAGGATAGAGCCCAGCCGGGGAGACAGATAGGCAGGAAGAGAGAAAGGAGGGGCAGAAATGGTCAGAAGGAGAGAGGGAGAGACCTCAGAGGCAGGGAGGCCGGAGGAGTGGGGTGTGGAGGAGAAAAAGAGAGACAGAGGGAAGAAATGGAGAGACAGAAACTGGGAGACCCCCACAGGGACAGAGAGAGTAACGGGGATGCTGGAGAGATGGGAGACAGACACACACGGGAAGAGACAGAGGGTTTGGGGATGAGATGGAGACAGTCTGGGAGGAGAGAAGATTATCAAAGGTACTATCAGAGTTAGAAAAATCTCTACAATGAAGGTGAAGCGACAATGGAAAAGAAGGCGAGACAGACGGAGCTGTGGGTGGGAAGGAGCGTCATTTGGCTGGAGCTGCTAACTAGGCGCGCGAATGAACCGGGGACCCACAAGTCCACAGCCCAAGAGAGAAAGTGAAAGTAGGGGGACCGCCCCCCAACCTCCCGGCCACGCGGGACACCTGGGTCCCCGCGTGGGCGCCGACGGGGCGGGCCCAGAGGTAGCCCCGCCCAGAGCTGGGGTGCAGAGGGCGGGAGGCGCCGCCGCCGCGAGGGCGGGGACCAGACCTGCCTCGTCTCGCCCCAGGCTCCGCGCGCGATCCCCGCCCCCAGGGCAAGGGAAGGAAAGGAAGGGAGGGAGGGCGAGGTGGCCGGACGCTGGGGTTTCCCCAGCCTCCCAGCGAGGAACTAGGACTTCGGGGTCTAGGCTTTCAGCCTTTGGCTCTGCGGGGTCCTCCTTCCCTCTTCCGGAAGAGCAGGCTCCTCCCCCCGCGCGTGGCACCCACGTGGGGCTTCTTCACCCTTACCAGCTGAGTTTCCTCACCCCGATCTTGTAGAGTCACACCCTCCCACCTCTCCCCCAGTCGAGTGAGGCTCGACTCCTCACTCAGCCCACTCCCTTCCATACGGTGGCGTGGCGGGGCTCACTGCTCCCAGCATGGCATCGTTCCTCTCTCCTCCGCCCCCCTCCCGGGTCCACCTTTCCCACGCTTGTCTCCCGTCTGTGAACCCCTTCCCACGACCCAGTATTCTAGGTTTCCTGGGGTCTCGCTTCCTCAACTGGGCTTCCTCCTCTCCCGTCCACATGCGAAATACTCAGGGCACCTCCCCGCGCATCTCCGGCACCCCCCTGGGGTCTCCGATTTCTCCCACTAGCTTTCCCCTTCCTACGACCTCGCGTCCCTTTCTTCCCCGAATTTATCACCCCCCTCACAGTCTCTCTCTCTCTCTGGCCCCCCCCCCCCCAATCCCGCGTGCTCCTCGCGCCCTCTGCAAGTGGGTCCACTCCACTTTCCTGACATCTCCAGGGTTCGCTTCACCTAGCTTTTCTGTTCTTGAATCTCTCGGCCTCACGACCCCTGAGGTCTGGATCAGCTTTCCCCACTGCCTCTCCTTTTCCAGATGCTGGGGTCTTCCCTTCTCCCAAACCGGGCTCCCACTCTGCAGCCCCCCAACCCCGCGACGCCCGCATTCTAGTGCACCCTAGAGGGGCAAGTCTTTTTCTACTCTTCCCCCCAATTACTTCTCTCCCTCTAGGGGACTTCCCCCCACGATCCCGCATGTTCCTGTCGCCCTCTAGAAGCGGTCCACTTCGCTCCCTATCTCCTCTTCAAGACCAGATACCTGGGGGGTAGGGAGTTCAGCCCTATCCTCTTTGGGATCCCCCTCCCACGTATCCGGCGCCGCCGGGGGTCCTCTTCCTCCAGCCAGTTTCCTCCGCCAGTATTTTCCTCCCCATGACCCCCGCACTCCGGCGCCCCCTGGGGGCTCCCCTCCAGGGTCCCCTGCCCCTCCGAGCTCACCGTTTTCCTTTTCCACCATTAGCACGCGGGTGACCTCCTTGGCGTAGTAGTCCGCCTCAGGCTCGGGCTCCGTCTCAGCGCTCTCCCCGGCCACCTGGGCGCGGGTACTGTTGTAAAGGGCCAGCACGGCCTCGGGCAGCGGGCCGGGCGGAACCTCCCCCTGGCTCGGGGGGCTGGCGAGCCGCAACTTGGACAGGATCTGGCCGCGGATGGCCTCGATGCGCTTCCGCTTCACCAGCTCCATGTCGATGGTCTTGCAGGTGGACAGTCCGGCGGCTGGCCGGCCAGGCGTCAGCACTAGTAGCCACAGCAGTGGCAGCAGCAGCGGCAGCAGCCGCAGGCCGGAGGGCGGCATGGGGGAGGCGGCGCCCCCCGGCACTGCCGAGAGCGCGAGCCGGGCTGGGGTGGGAAGAGGGAGGCCCCACCCCTACAGGGGTTGGGGGGGGTCTCCCAAGGAAAGGTAGGAGGGTCTGGGGAGAAAAGTTGAGGCCCTCAGGGAGAACGGAGAGGCGGTGGAGGGGAGGCTCTGATGGGTGGTTTCTGGGTATCCCACCGGAAAAACCGAGATGGGCGAGATCTGGTACCAGAGGTGGGTGGTCTTGAATAGGGGAGCTGAGGCAGCTCTGAGAGAGATCCCGTCTCCCGGATCCCGGAGAAGGGTCCTTGGACGCGCAGGGGCTCAGGAGAGAGGCTGGGGAGAGGGCGTGCAGGGGGGTGCGCCCGAGGTCTGGGGTCAGGTCTTCTTGGGAGTCAGGTTTGCGGCTTCTGAGGGCTGGTCCGGAATGGGGGCGTCTGGGGGACGCCGTGTAGGGGGCAGAAAGGGAGCAAGAGTCCGACGCAGTGGGAGGGCGGTCTGGGGTCCCCAAGTCCTGCCTCCTCGCGGGGCAGCGCCGCGCCAAGCGGTCCCCGCGCCTCCAGCTCCCAGCGGCAGCGGAAAAGTCTCAAAACTTTTTTTCCTCTTCTCCCAACCAGCTCGTCCCTCCTCCCGCTCCTCCTCCCCCTCCTCCCCGCAGTGGCGGCGGCGGCGGCGGCGGGGGCGGCGGCGGCTCGTCTCAGACTCTGGGGCCTCGGGCTGCTCCTCGGCGGCTCCTTCTTCTGCTCCGGGCCGAGGCCGGCCCCGTGGGCCGCTCCGTGCCGGGGGGGTGCCCCGGAGGGGGCGTCCCCCCTGCCCCCGGCCGGGGGCCTCGCTGTCTGGCGGAGCCGCGGCGGGCGGAGGGGGTGGGACGGCCCGGGGCGCGAAGGGCGGCGGCGGCGGCGGCGGCGGGGACCGGCTGGGGCTGCGGGGGGTTTTGAAGCCGCCCCGGCCCCACCCAGGAAGCGCGCGGGGCGGGGGCGGCCCCCAGGGGGAGGGTATGGGGGGGGCCGGGCCACCGTCCTCATCTCTCGTGGGCGGGCTCCGAGGGGGGTCCCTTAAGCCCTAGGGGGAGGGGGCGGGCACCCCGGCTCCGCCCCACCAACAGGGTGCTGCCTCCTGGCGGCCAACCGCTACCAAAGCGGACGACGGGATGCGTGTGGCTTTGAGGGCTGTGCGGGTCACCGAGAAAATGAAGACCTGGCCTAAATTAGAGGATGGGGACACAGCGTACAGGGGATCAGAGAAGGGGGACCCCAAGGGAAGAGAGTGGGAGGCTGGGGCAGAGGAGACAGGGTCAGCCAGAAGATGGGGACCTAGTGAGGAGAGGGGTACACAGGAGGGGGACCCCCAAGGAGAGGCGGTCATAAGAGGGTCACCCAGAGTGGGGAGGGAGTCAGAAGTTGAGGCAGAGGATGGGGGATGCGGGTCTGTCAGAAGGTGGGGGCCTGAGGATGGCAGGTGTGTGGGGAGGGGGAAGGATGGGGCCCAGGACATCTGACAGATGAGAGAGGTCTGGAAGGCACCCACACCTGTGGGAACTGCTCTCCTTTATTGAACACTTCCATGTGCGAAGCAGCCCTTCTCACCCCACCCGCTGTGAGCCCACATGCTTACTGCCCCCATTTTACAGATGGGGAAACTGGACCCGAGAGGGGCAGGTCACTGGGCTGAGGTGGTAGCCAGGACAGAAGCTGCACCATGCCTTGGCTGGGGTCAGGTCTGACAGTCTCTAGAGCCCATTCTTCTGACCACTGTGCCATCCTGCCCCTCACTGGGTGTCCGGGGGTGTGGATGGGGGCTGGCCCCGTTGGAGGCAGGGTCCCTCAACATTCAACGCCATAGCGGTCGAAGTGGCGCAGCAGCAGGCCCAGCTCCAGGTGCACGGTGCCGCCGGCGGCTGTGTGCAGACGATAGCGGTCGGCCCCACTGTAGATGGCGTCCCCGTGGAGCAGCTGAGGCCCGCCACCCACAAAGGCCCGCGCCAGCTGCTCCCGCCAGCTGCCCAGCGGCCGCCATGTGGGGCAGTCCAGCTGATGGGTGCCGGGACTGCTGGGCACATGGCAAAAGCCATAGCCTGCAAGCTGGCAGCGGCCGAAGCTGTCCTGGGACCACACCTGGAGATGGAGCCGGGGCCAGCCTGCAGGACAGGAGGGAGGGAGGAAAGAAGGGATGGGTACAGCCCAGACTCTTGTTCCTGGAGACCCCAGGCCCAGTCTTCCCCCGCTGGGTTTCTGCCTCAGCCACCTCCCTGGACTCCCACCCCCACGCAGCAGCCAAAGGGATCTTTCTGAATCCATGTTCCTCCCTGCTCAGAACTCTTCCATGGCTCCCCAGTGCCCTCAGTATAAAGTCCAACCTTAACATTCAAGACCCTTTGGATCTAGTCTCTGTTGACTTCCCTCTCTGTGGCCTCCTCCTCCGTGTCCCCATCTCAGGGCAGCCTAGTCCCCAGCTGAGCACCGTGGGCCTTGTCCTGGACACCTCCTTCCTTCCCTCCCCATGGCCACTCCTTGTCTCTGGACTCAAGGCCCTCTTTCTTGCCCCCTCCAATCCACCTTCTACCTTTCTCCCCCTTCCACAGGTTTCCCAGTGTCCTCAAGAATACTCAGCTCCTCAGCCTGGTAGGCAAAACCCTTGGAGATCCGGCCCCATTTCACCCCCCTTTCTGAACCCTTCTGTCTTCAGCCCTGTTATAGAAGCTAGGGGACACCGCAGTGAGCAGAGCAGACAAAAATTCCTGCCCTTGTGTAGCTGACATCCTAGATAACAAACATAGTCAAGAAGCAAATTATAGGGTATGTCAGGTGGTGATAACAGCTCCGGAGAAAAATAAAGCTGGGGGGGTCGGGATGCAGTTTTAGAAAGGAGGTGATCAAGAATAGTTTCATGGAGAAGGTGACATTTGAGCGAATGCTTAAAGGAGAGAAGGGAGTAGGCCATGTGGGCATCTAGGGAAGTGTGCTCCCAGCAGAGGGGACAGCCAGTGCAAAGGCCCTGAGGTGGGAGCTGCCTGGTGGGGCCAGTGTAGCTGGAGCCCAATGAGAGGGGAGAAGAGGGAGGAGGCGACAGAACCAGATCACCAGATCGGGGAGGGCCTTGTGATCCGTGGTAAGCCTTTGGCATTTGCCCTGAGAGAGGTGGGGTTCCCCCGAAGGCTCTGAGCAGAGGAGGCATGTGACCTGACTTAGGTGTTCATAAGGGACAGACCCTGGGACGCGGGTTACTGTGACAGCCCAGGTGAGAGGTGAGGGTGGGAGGAGAGGGGGAGAAGTGGTGTGATTTTTGGCATTTCAAAGGTAGAGCCAATGGGACTTCCTGATGGACAGAATGGGGGGTTGAGAGGACAAGAGGCGAGGATGATGCCCACCATGGGGAACCTGGGGTCCCTAAGAGCTGAAAGGACTGTCACCTGCCTCACCTCCAAACTCCCAAGGCGGCCAGAAGAGCCTTTTAACAGTGAAATCTGACTTGTCAGTCACCTGCTCTGGCTCTCCATTGCCTTCAGGAGGTGGCCGCAGCTCTGCGGCCTGGCATTCAAGGCCCCACATGGCCTATCCCCTGTCGCCTGCTGCCTCACCCTCTGCAGTCCTCCTGCAGGCACTCCGTAGATATTATTACATCGTTGAAATATACGGCATATTTACCTAGGCTGTTTCCCAGAATCCCCTTCTCTCCAATGACCCAAATTTTCCACCAGAAAAGGTTTTCTGATACCCGTCCTCCACCCGCATACTCATTTCCCCTCTGAGCAGCTGAGGAGCCCTTCCTGCGAAGAGCCGCCAGCCCTCGTCTCTCTCCCTCTCATAACCCCCTCCCAGCTTCCTCCTGATTGAAGACTCTCTTCAGTTTGTCTCTTTGAAAGTCACCTCCCTCTCCCCTGTCCCCACCCTCCCCTCTTCCCCTGCCACCCCTGGCGTCTGCCTTAGTCCTACGCACTCTAGAGCCAGCCTGGGGAGGCCACCCCTCAGCCGCTCCAGGGCCAGGCCTGGCCGGGAAAGGGACCCAAAGGGTATGGGGAGCAGGGAGAGGACTTGGAATTCCAGTCCCAGCAGCGGTGGGTGATGCTAACGCCCCTCCAGTCAGCCTAGCCCAGGGCCCAGGCCAGGGACCCACCTTGGAGGCCTTTGGTGGCGAAGTGCAGGTCGATGGGGTGGGACCAGTAGGCCATGTCCCCTACCTGGGGGGTGTCCACCTGTGTTTGGCCTTCCCGCACGCCGGACAGGAGCTTCCATGCCGCCCCTGCAGTGAGAGCCAGGACACCGTGGGACAAGGAGGGGTGGGAGGCAGCCACCAGGAAGGGGACGCTACTGTGTCTGTAGGAACCTATTTCTCCCTGGCATTGGGGGGCAGGGCTTACAAAGCGTGGACTCTGGAGCCGAATGTCTGGGTTCAAATCCTGGCACTACTTCTTCCTGCCTGTGCAACCTTGGGCAAGTTACCTTTGCCTCGGTCTCCCCGTCTGTAAAGTGGGTGTAATAATAACACATTCCTCAAAGTTTTGTGAGAAGATGACATGAGCTGATACACACAAAGCCCTTGGCAGGGTCCTGGGGCATGGTGAGTGCTAGACAAGTGTTGGATAGCATCTTATTACTATTCTCACCCTACCTGGTCCAAGGACTAAGAGAGGACCGAGGTGTCTTCTGAGCACATGGTGAAAGGTGCAAGGTAACAGCAATCCCACTGAGGCTGATAATAATAGCAAAAATGCACCAGGTGCTTACTCAATGCCAGATGCTACGCTAAGCGCTTTAGTAATGAATTCATTTAATCTGCCCTCTGAGACTTAATCCCCACCCCGTCCCCCAGTTTACAGACTCTCCTCCACAGCCCACAAGGCCTGCATGGCCTGGCCTGTGCCCTGCTTCCTAAACTCAGCTCCCATCACTCTCCCCAGCCCTTACCACCCTCGAGCCTCACTGGTCCTATTTTTATTCCTGTCCTCAGGGCCTTTGCACTGGCTGTTGCCGCTGCCTAGAAAGCTCTGCTCCTGGATGTGCCGATGCCTGGCTTTTTTTTTCATCCTTCAGGGATCAGCTCAAGTGCCGCTTTCACAGAGGGGTTCTCCCCTACCCTCCTAGTCCCCATCACATCACCTCTTCTGATTTCTCCCTAGTACCTACCACGATCTGTCATCACTGTGCTCATTTCTTTATCTGCTTATTTATTTTCTGTCTCCCCTACTGTGAGCCCCAGGAGACCAGGGATCTTGTACACTGCTGGATCCCCGGGACCCCTAACCCAGAACTTGGTATACAGAAGGTGCTCAATAAATGTTTGTTGGACAAATAAGTGATCCTAGGAGGTAGGTGCTAATCTAATCCCCATTTTACAGGTAAAGACACAGACACTGAGAAGGCAAGTCACTTGGCCATTCATTCCATGAACATTTATTGACCACCTACTGTGTGCCAAGCACTGTTCTCCATGCTGGGTGTACAGCAGGACTGCAGACCAAGGTCCCATGGTGGAGCTGGATTCAAACTGAGCTCTGACTGCAGAGCTCAAACCTTTATCTGACTGCCCCTGAGCTCTGCTAGATTAACCACCCTGCAACAGCGCCCTGACATAATAAAAATCAGGTGAGTTACTGCTCCCTCCTGGGCCAGGTGAGGAAAGCACCAGGCCCTGAGTCTGGTTCTTCACATACAAGACTTCCCAATATCCCTACGAAGGACAAACATTCCCACTTTACAGAAGAGGAAACTGAGGCTCCAAGAGGGGACAGCACCTGCTCAGGGTCACAGAGCACGTGAGTGGTGGGGTCCAGACCGAAAGCCAAGTCTGACTCCTGCCTCTTATCTGCTCATTTGGAGGATCCCGATTTCCCAGAGAACATCAACCAGCACCCTACCCACCAGTGAAATCACCAAGGACCCAGGGCCTGGAGAGATGATGATGATGGCAACAGCCACACTCGCAGCGTGGGCATGTATCTGGGCCAGGCAACAGTCCCCCTGGGCTTTACAAACAAGACCTCATTCAACTGTTACGGGAGCCAGGTAAACACTTACTGATCGCTCACTAAGCCAGGCCCTCTGAAGTGCTGTTGATGTTCACTTAGTCCTCACAACAACCCCGTGAGGTAAGTGGTATGATTACTCCCATTGTACAGAAAGGAAAATTGAGGCAAAGACAATGGCCGTCACATAATTGATAAGCAACAGCTGGTTTTGCACCCAGGCAGTCTGTGCTCTTAACCTCAACCCTCTGCTGCCTCTTAGCTACTGTTAGCTTCATTTGCAGATGAGCTGAGGCTCAGAGAAGTCCAAAGGGCCCCAATTAATGGGTGAGGGAGCTGGTATTTGAGCACAGATCTGGCAATCTACGGCCCTAGCCATTATGCTACACCACGGTGCTATACTGCCTCTCACGGGGAGGAGTGAAAATTGGGGCCTCCAAGGTCCCTCGGGGGCCTGAATGGATGGACTGGGATGACGGCCAGGATGGGATTCCTACATTCTCACAGGGAATTATGATTACAGGAGGGTGGCCTCTCCTCTATAAATCTGGGATGGAAACTTCCATTTTACAGTAAGAACTCAATAAATGGAGACTGTTACACAAAGAATTAAGATGAGAGAGGGACCGAGGGTACCCCTAAGACAGCGAATGAAGTCCAAACAGTGGGACTAGGGTTGTCTTTTGAGGAGTGGAAGTGTATGTGTTGGATCTAGCCTATAGTCCCATATCCTTAGGGGCTGTGTGTTCAGAGGGTGGGAGTCAGAGCCCCCAGAGATGGGATGGGAAGGAATAAGGAGCCTGAGAATCACGTGGACAGAGTACAGTCAGGCTAGAAGTCCTGAGAGCCAATGGAAGATGAAGATCAAGGACTGGGTCAGGGGGTCAAGGAAGGAGGGTGCAGCCTCTAGGCTGGGGGGCCTTGGTCGCGAAATGAACCAGGCCCGGGAATACCTGTGTGGATGCCCCACTTGCAGAAGAGGCTACTTTCCGAGAAACCAGTGGCCCCCAAGATCTGCCCGATCACGTGCACCTCAGCCATGGCCCTGAGAGGGGAAAGATATGATCACAGCCCTGTGAGGTCAAGGTATTATTATGTCCACCTGACAGATGGGGAAACTGAGGCCCACCAAGTAAGGGGCAGTACTAGGATTCCAAGCTAGTTTCGTCAAACCACTCAGGCTGCGGTCTTAATCATGATCCTTCCCCGCTCCCTAGGAGAGCCCCGGATAAACTAGGGGGATGGGGGTGGGGGGCGGCTGAAGAGCTGGCGGTTAACTCCGCCTGCCTCTAAAATAACCTCTTCCTCTTGCTCAGCGCAGCGAGAAGCCCCGCCCTAAGGGCCGATAGCCCCGCCCACAAGCACAGAAGCCCCACCTCCTCGCGTCAGATCCCGCAAGCTCCGTGAGGCGCATGCGTCTTAAGAGCAGGGAAGCCTTAGCCCCGCCTCCAAGCCCGCGCATGCGCCATTCCTACCTCAGAGCACCTAACGGTTAGAAGGGGCGAAAACGGCAGCGTGGCTTGGAGTTCATGGATCTGACCTGTCCTCTCTCCGCGGCCGCTGAATTCTCACTCCTGGCTCTCGCCTCTCCCAGGACTTTCTCGGTAGCGAGAGATCTGATCTCGGTAGCGATCTTTCCGAGGCCGCGCCCGCCTCCGGGCTCCCTGCTTGTTGCTGGGGCAACAGCAGCCTCCTCCCCTGGACTTGTGCCCGCCCTGCGGGTCGCTAATTGGCCCTAGCGGTCTTCGGGGGTGGGGCTAAGTTATGATGGACGTTTTCTCTCCCCCTCTCTCCCCGTTTTGGGAAAAGCGGCTCTCCGGCTACGACCCACGGTTCCGCCATTTGGGGCGTGGCAGCGCAGCTGCCATCTTGAGTGTGGCTGAGGCAGTTGGAGCGCCAACTGTTTGTCCTGGATGGTGTCTTCACAAAATAAGCAAATCCGTCGATGCGCCATGCTCCCCCAAACTCTCTCCCAACCGCGACCACAAATGAGAAACTTGAGCCAGGACCAAGGGGAATCTCTCTCAGGTCATCGTGTGCATCCCCCTGCCTCATAACTGGAAAAAAAGATCGTTCCTCTTTTTAGACAGACCCGAGAAGTTGGGGAGGGGGTTTTCCTTCCTTTTTTAGAATTCGCCAGGCTCCTCAAGGCCTGATAACTCCAACTTCCTTCTCAGAAATACTGTCCAGTTCTGCACAGTTGCTGCTGGTTCTGAGCAAGGAGGGGGTTCCGGGGGAAGAGGTAGGAGAAATGAGGAACTGAGGCCTCTCTTTCTGCAGAAAATCCGGTTCTCGAAGCCTGGGCTCTGCCCTTAAGTTATCTTGTGACTTTGCACGGGTCTAGGTCTCTGTTATCTCATCCATGTAATGGGCGCAAGGAGAGTGACTGTCAGTGGCCCCGACACATTGTGATTTCCTGAGCAGGGTCCTTCCCGCCCTCTAAGGGCAGCTGAACCTTAGTTATTCCTCCAGCCCAGGCCAGGAGTCCAAAGGGAACTTATTACCCTACTTTTTAGCAAACCGGGACTGCGAAAGTTAGAGTGACAACTCAAAGGGGGCAACATCTCAATAGGATAATATTTATGTAAATAATTTAATAGGATAATATTTCACTAATAGATATATTTGAAAGCTACCATTTATTGAGTGCTGTCTCTGTGCCAGCCCCTATAAACTGATCGTTTTGCGTGCAGGATCTCCTTGAATCCTCATAGGGTAGGTAACACTATCAGGTTTAAGATGAAGAAATTGGGGCAAAATCTTTTGCCTTAAGCCAAATCGATCACAGTTCTGTCTGACTCTGTCCTTAAACCCTATGTTCTCAAGCTTTCTGCTATCCTGCTTCTCTTGGACACGTGTCCCAGTATCAAAAGAATATGGAGGTTGTGCCTGGCTGTCCTGGACTCCATCACTTCCCATGTTCAACAAGTCATCAACACCTGTCACTGGTCCTTCTTAAATATTTTTTCTTCAATTGGTTTCTTCCCCAATAGTTGATATTAGTGATTAAGAAAATGGTTCCCAGGTCAACTGCCTGGATTTAAGTCTTGGCTCTGCCCCTTCTGTGTAGCCTTTAGCCTTTCTGTGCCTCAGTTTCCTCATCTGTAATGTGAGGTTGAATGATAGGACCCACCTCATTGGACTCTTGTGAGGATTTAATGAGTTAGTGTACGAAGCTGTTTTAAAATATGTCCACAGATTCTTTGACATTCCTCCTTTCAGTAGGTGAAGCCTAATTCCTCTCCTCTGGAGTCTGAGCTGCACTTAGTAACTTGCTTCTAACCAATAGAATACAGCACAAGTGTTGCTGTGTGACTTCTGAGCCTAGGCCATAAAAGGCATTGTGTCTTCCTCTTTGCTCTTTCTGTTGGATCACTCACTCTGAGGGAGGTCAGCCACTGGGTTGTGATGGTGTTACCATGCAAAGGCGTGATCTGCTTGCTGCGAGACAAAAGCCAATTGTCAGGAGGCAAGATAATGGCAGAGAAAGGGCATTTATTAAGCCATCAGCTAGCAAATCGGAAGATGGGGGACTAGCGTCCTAAAGAACCATCTTAAGAGGGGCGTAGACTCTTGAGGCAGTTCTGTAGGCCATGGGTTATAGAGGCGGGGTTAGGAGTGTTTACCCTCAGGTGTTACAGAATGGGAGTCACCACACTGGATGTTTCCGTTGTCATTGATGATGGCTATCAGCATAAACTCTCTGCCCCGGGGGTCATCACATTACTTATTGCAGCTGGGAGGTACATACGCAAGCAGGGGCCATAAAATCGACAGAGCATGTACATCCCCTGCAGGGTGCATATTCAGCTGGGTTAGGTCATCAGAGGTCATTCAAAGTTACGATATGGTTTCTTTTCTACAATATGGCTTCCCTTATGTCAACTTTGTCTTGAGCCAGTATCAATGGTGGTGAAGCAGCCAGTGGAGAGACCCTAATAGAGAAGAACTGAGGACTCCTGGCAACAACCAGCACCATGTGAGTGACCCAACTTGGAAGCAAATCTTCCAACCCCAGTCAAATCCTCAGATGACTCTAACTCTGGCCATAGTCTGACTGTAACTTCACGGGACACGGTGAGCCGGAACCACCCAGCTCAGCCCTTGCCAGATTCCTGGCTGACAGAAACCATGTAAGATGATATATGTTTGTTGTTTTAAGCCACTAAGTTTTGGAGGATAATTTGTTATGCAGCAATAAATAACTAATACGAATATGTCATGAATTTAGGACAGTGTTTGGCACAGGAAGCACGATAAATGTTTGCTATTATTGATAGTTTTTATTGTTGTTGTCATTATTACTGAAGTGGCATATTTTACATACTGGTTTTTTACAAGAAGCACACTGAATACTTATTTACTTGTTATTTTTAAATTTGTAAACATTGTGGTAAAATACACATAACATAAAAGTTACCATCTTAGCTATTTTTAGTGTACAGCTCAGTGCCATTAAGTACATTCACATAATTGTGCAACCAATCTCCAGAACTCTTTTCCTCTTGCAAAACTGAAACTCTGTCCTCATTAAACCAAAAGTCCCCATCCTCCCCTCCCCCAGCCCCTGGTAACTACCATTCGACTTTCTGTCTATGAATTTGACTACTCTAGGTACCTCATATAAGTAGAACCATTCAGTATTTGTCCTTTTACAACTGGCTTATTTCATTTAGCATAATATCCTCCAAGATCATCCACGTTGCGGCACATGTCAGAATTCCCTTGCTTTGTAAGGCTGATTAATATTCCATTGTGTATATACACCTATTTTCTCTATCCATTCATCTGTTGATGGATGCTTGGGTTGCTTCCACCTCTTGATTGTTGTGAATATGCTGCTGTGAACATGGGTGTACGTGTATCTCTTTGAGACCCTGCTTTCAGTTCTTTGGGGTATATACCCAGAAGTGGAATTGCTGGATCACATAGCAATTCTATTTTTTTTTAATTTATTTTTTTTGAGGAAGATTAGCCCTGAGCTAACATCTGCTGCCAATCCTCCTCTTTTTCCTGAGGAAGACGCCCTGAGCTAACGTCCATGCCCATCTTCCTCTACTTTATACCTGGGCCACCTACCACAGCATGGCTTTTTGCCAAGTGGTGCCATGTCCACACCTGGGATCCAAACCGGTGAACCCTGGCCCGCCAGGAAGCAGAACTTGCTAACTTAACGGCTGCGCCACGGGGCCGGCCCCCTCTATTTTTAATTTTTTTGAGGAAGACCATACTGTTTTCCATAGGGACTGTACCGATTGTTTTACATCTTGCTTTTTGCACTCAGTGATACATTTGGAAATTTATAGACCATGTCAGTGTATAAATCTCTAACTCACTCTTTTTTAAAAATAACCACTTTAGGGGCGGGCCCGGTGGTGCAGTGGTTAAGTGCACACGTTCCGCTTTGGCGGCTCGGGGTCTGCCAGTTCGGATCCCGGGTGCGGACACGGCACCGCTTGGCATGCCATGCTGTGGCAGGCATCCCACATATAAAATAGAGGAAGATGGGCACGCATGTTAGCTCAGCGCCAGTCTTCCTCAGAGAAAAGAGGAAGCTTGGCAGCAGTTAGTTCAGGCCTAATCTTCCTCAAAAAAAAAAATAAAAAAATAACCGTTTAAAGTATAATATATGTACAGAAAAGTGCACAAATCATAAATGAACAGCTTGATTCAATTTCATAAACTGAACACACCTAGTAACCAGAATTCAGCTCAAGAAAAGCATATGAGGGGCCGGCCCGGTGGTGTACTGGTTGATTTTGCACACTCTGCTTCAGTGGCACAGGGTTCATAGGTTTGGATCCCAGGTGTGGAACTATGCATCACTTGTCAAACCACGCTGTGGTGGTGTCCTACATACAAAATAGAGGAAGATTGGCACAGATGTTAGCTCAGGGACAATCTTCCTCACCAAAAAAAAAAAAAAAGAAGAAGAAGAAGAAAAGAAAAGAACATCACCAGCCCCCCAGGATGTCCTTCATGCCTCTCCCAGGATGCCCCCAAGGGTAATCACTAACTGGACTTTTAACAACATGGGTTAATTATGGCCTGTTTTTGTACTTTATATAAATGAAATCACACAGTATGTATTGTTTTGCATCTGCTGTCTTTTGCTCAGTGTTTTGTTTGTGAAATATATCCATGCTGCTGCATGTGGCTGTAGAGCTTTCATTCTCATTGCTATATAGTTTCCTATATGTGAAGATGCTACAATTTCTTTATCCATCAGTTGATGGGAATGTATCCTTTGGTGGACATACATTGGCATCTGGTTGGAGTGGAATTGCTGGGTCATAGGATATGTTCAGCTATAGCAGAAACTGCACAACAGTTATCCTGGTGGTTGGACCCATTTGCACTCCCACCAGCAGTGTATGAGAGTTCTCCCTCCTCCACATCCTCACCAACACTTGGTGGTGGTGTTCTTTCTCATTTACCCATTCTGGCAGACGTGTACTGGTATCACATTGTGATTTGAATTTGCATTTCCCTGATGACAACTTGAGTATCTTTTTAGGTGTTTTTTTTTTTTTTTTTTTTTTTTGGTGAGGAAGATTGGCCCTGAGCTAACATCTGTTGCCAATCTTCCTCTCTTTGTTTGAGGAAGATTGTCGCTGAGCTAACATCTGTGCCAGTCTTCCTCTATTTTGCACGTGGGACGCCACCACAGCAGGGCTTGATGAGCGGTGTGTAGTTCTGCACCCAGGATCTGAACCTGTGAACCCCAGGCCTCTGGAGTGGAGCACGCAAACTTAACCACTACACCACCAGGCCAACCTCAAGTATCTTTTTAAATGTTCATTGTTTCCTTGGATTTCCTCTTTGGTGACGATTTTGTTCAATTCTTTCGCCTGCTTTTTTGCATACACACACACACACACACACACACATAAATACTTTATTCAGGGACCGGCCCAGTGACACAGCAGTTAAGTTTGCACGTTCTGCTTTGGCCGCCCAGAGTTCACTGGTTCAGATCCTGGGTATGGACCTATGCACCACTTGGCAAGCCATGCTGTGGCAGGCATCCCACATATAAAGTAGAGGAAGATGGGCACGGATGTTAGCTCAGGGCCAGTCTTCCTCAGCAAAAAAGAGAATTGGCAGCAGATGTTAGCTCAGGGCTAATCTTCCTAAAAAAAAAAAAGAAAAAGAGAGAAAGACTTTATTCATAACTCACTATTTTTAACAGTAAAATTCTCCTAAGAACAAGGGGGTCCTCCTACATAAGCATAATACCAACTTAACATTTTCCACAGTATCAATATAATATTGATACAAACTATCATTTAATTTATAATTTTTATTCAGATTTCTCCCATTGTCCCAATAATACACTTTATCCCTCTCTGCCCTCTCTCCAGGATCACACTTTGTATTTAATTGTCATGTTTCTTTAGTCACCTTTAATCTAGAACAGAGCTGCCAAGTTTTTCGTTTTTTGTTATTATTTTGTTTTTCATGATACTGACCTGCTGCTTTGTAGGGTGTCCCTTAATTTGGCTTTGTCTCACATTTTCTCATGGTTAGATTCAGGTGATACTGTTTTGGCAGGAAAACTACAGAAACGATGTTGTGTCCTTCTCCGTGCACATGAGGAGGCACGTGATGTCTTTTGTCCCAGTACTGGTGATGGCAACTTCTACCACCTAGTTAAGGTGGTGGCTTGCCAGTATTCTCCACCAGTACTAGTTGTTTTCTTTTGTACTAAATAAGTCATCTGTGGGAAGATACTTTGAGACTAAGTAAATATCCTGTTCCTAATCAAACTTTCCCTCAATGGCTTAAGCTTCGTTGATGGTCCTGGCTGGAACCTCATGTTTACTATTCTAAGACCAATACAAACCTTAAGAGGCCAGTGCCTCTTGTGACCCCCGGAAAGGGGTGGGGTTGGGGAGACTGTACAAGGTTGATGGTGGCCAGAGAGATCTAACTGGAAGTGAAGGAATCTTTAGGGTGGCCTAGGGGGCGAAGGGACCCATAGAGCTGTGAGATTTGGTGAAAAATTGACGCTGGTGGGAATTCGTGCCCTCATCTCACAAATATGCATTAGAGGCCCACTCCGTGCCAGGCACTGTGGCACAGCAATGAACAAAAGAGATCAAATCTCAGCCCTCCTGGGGCTGACACTGCTGTGGGAGGATGCCAGCTACAAACAACAGAAATATATAGCATGTTTGATAGTGATAAGCTGAGGTTAAGGAGATAGACAGTAACAGGGTATCTCTCCCAGATAAGACGATCCTTCTCCCTCTCATCTACCCTCCCGTGGGTCTCCCCACCTCTGTTGTCTGCCAGAAACTCTGGCTGAGCCAAGTGCACTTGCAGACGCCATCTGCTCTCGCCGGGAGTGGGGCCTGTGCCAGCTCCGGCGTCTGGACTCTTGGCACGCAGCCCTGGAGCCCTGGAGCGAGGGAACTCTGGCTGGCCCCACATCAGGAGGGGAATCCTCCAGTTTGGCTGACTGGGACTAATGAGACAGAGGGCTTCTGGGAAGGGGAAGCCAGTGCAAGCTGGGTGGGCTTCCTGAAGGAGGTGGAGGCCGGCAGGGTGAGGATAGTACCCGAATCAGGCTGATGGAGATGGATATAAATAATAATATTCATAAACATCATCAAACACATTCAGAGCGCCTACTTTGCCAAGCTTTGGGTAAATGTTGGACATTTGTTATCACAGCTCATCTAAGTGCTTTAGGCATGTTACCACATCTAAGAGGCAGGGAGTATTTAGCCCTGTTTTACAGATGAAGAAATTAGGGTTCAGAGAGGTGATGCCATTATCTAGACGTCACACAGTAAGTGACCCGAAGAGCCTGGAGGGGCCAGCCCCGTTATGCAGCAGTTTAGTTTGCATGCTCTGCTTTGGTGGCCCGTGGTTTGCCAGTTTGGATCCTGGGTGCAGAGCTATGCACTGCTTGTCAAGCCAAGCTGTGGCAAGCATCCCACATATAGAAAGTAGAGGAAGATGGGCATTGGTGTTAACTCACGGCCAGTCTTCCTCAGAAAAAAAAAAAAAAAACCAGATTGGCAGATGTTAGCTCAGGTCTGCGTGGGTCCAAACACTGACTCCTAACCACCACCATCTGTATCATCTGCTAACCAGCACATCACCCCACGGCTGGCCCACTCCCACCTCTGCCTCCTTTCCCTGGAAGCCCGCACCTCACCTTTGCCTCTGCTTCCTCCCCTCCCTTTGGGCCAGCAAGCAATACAGCCCAGGGGTTCAATCTGCCGGGCCTGGTACCAGTCGTTACCCTGGGCCAGTGAGGACATATCTCTGAGTCTCAGTTTCTTTATCTGCAAAATAGGGACAGCAAGAGAGCTGCTGAGAGAAATCAATGCGATGATGAGTGTGAAGCATCTGACACGGGGACCGGGGTACTCTGCCCTCAGGGAACTGGCAGCGTGCTCTTAGGCAAGGCCCTCATGTCGCCGCGCCTGTTTCCTCCTGTGCACAGCAGGACAATAAGGTGGTACCTCCTAGGTCGTTCTGAGGACTAAATGCGTATACGGAAGCACTAACAACAGCGAACACAGTTAGCCGTCATTGCTGTTATTATTATTGGGAAGGGGGAGGGAGAGTAGGGGAGATGGAGGCGGGGCCAAGCCAGGAAGGCCCAGGAGAATCGAGGGCGCCCCCTCCTCCTCCCTGCAAAGCTCGGGACTGGGCTGGGGGGGGGGGGCGGATCGGGGCCCGCTGTCCTCGGAGACCCCCGCCTGCTCCCGCACACCCGGGGTCGCGGGGGCCGGTCGTCGGGAGCTGACGTCGGCCTTCAAGGCCCCCCTCCCCGGCCACCGCGGAGGAGGAGCCCGAGAGCCCGCGCCCCGCCGCCATCCCCGCCCCCGCGCGCTGCGGGCCCGGGGCGCAGAGAGGGGAGCCGAGCGGAGCACGGGGTTTACTGAGTTCCCCAACCCCGGGCGGCAGGATCGGGGCGGGCGTCGGTGCAGGGGGCCCAGGAGGCATTGGGCCGTGGGTGGTGAGTGAGGGGCAGAGGTGGGGGACACCGCCCCTCTCCCGGGTCCTAGCATTGGGGATGGGGAGGCAAAGCGTCGGCGAGGAAATCGGCTCAAACCAGGTTTGGAGTGAGGGCGAGAGGCTTGGGGACCCCCCGTGGGGATGGTGGGATGAGCAGAATCTTCTTTGTGGCTGAGTGTGCACAAATGTGTGGTGGGTCGGGGGTGTTATGGGGGAGGTGTGCAAAGGTGGATGCTGGTAAAACAGGAGGTGTCCGGGAAGCTGGTGGCTGCGCAGGGAGTAGCCTGGGGTCATGGATGTGGGTGGAATAGGGGAAGCGTGCCTGGATCAGGTGTTTGGGACAGGTGTGCAAGGGAAGTGATGGGAACAAGGGAGAGTGTCCAGAGTGCACGTGTGGGAAGCCTCTGCGTATGGGGGGAATCTGATGCTGGGGGGATTAGGAGTGTGCAAGGAGTCACTTGGGATGAGTGTGGAAGAAGGTTGGGGGTTCCAGAGGAATGTTTTCTGGAAGCTGATGTTGTTTGGGGCAAGTATGCCAGGAGTCCCTTGGGAGATGAATGGGGAGAGGTGGAGGTGGGGGTTGGGCTTGCCTGAATGGGTGTGTGTGGCAGGGGACTTGGGTATTCACAGGGTGCAGGCTTTGCTGGCAACAGGGGGTGTGTGGACTACAGTGAAGTGCAAAGTGTCACTGGGGATGGGTGTGGGGGAGAGGGTTGGGTGTGTAGTTCATGGGGGAAGTAAACATGGAAGGCAGGGTTTGGAATAAGTGTGCAACAGGTATGTGGTTTTTGCTGAGAGGGGAAAAGCCCAGATTTGAATGTGCAGACCCCTGAGTTCTCTTCCCAACTTGGGCCAGCCTCTTTTACTCTGTGGGCCTCAGTTTTACTATCTGTAAATGGGTCTGAGGGCTGTTGAACTCACTAGTCTGTGCCTGGAGTCTCTTCAGAGTCAGGGGAAGGAGGAAGGTGAGACTTTGACAACTTGTCTTTTCTTTCCCCTACCCCCAGGACATCTCTTCTGGAGCCTCCACCAGCCATGGACAGCTCCAGTCTCGGAGAGCTCCAGAAGCCTCTGCTGGCAGGTGTGGGCTGCGAGCCTGCTGTCCAGAGGCCTGGCGAGCCTGAGCTGGGGCCCCCATTTCGAGAGACAGCCTTGGCGGAGTCACTGAGGGGTTGGCAGTTCCTACTACCACCTCTTCCCTCTGTGAGCGCCAGCCTGGGGGAGCCAGGGCCCCCCGACCTTGAGGTAGGAGCAGCAGGCCTTAGTGGGGGCTGGGGGTGGGGGCTCGAGGTGAACCCAGCTGTGGTCAGCATCTGGCAGGCTGGCCCCTGGGGTATCTGCCTTCGGCCTGGAGTCTCACTTTTTCAGGTTATGGCTTTTCTCGTTCTACATCTCCCCTGGTTTCTTTACCTTTTTCTCTCCAGATTTGTCTGTCATCTTTGTTCCGTCACCTTTGGCTCTCTTGTCTGTCTTCCCTCTGATTTCTGACTTCCCTGCTCTCCATCTGTCCATCTCTTTCTGGAGCTGACACACCTTTGGCCTCTGTCGGCTCTGGTCTGTTTTTTCAGATTAATGTCACTTCTTATAATTTCTCATTCCTTGTACACATTGCCAAATTTGTGTTTCCTTTTTTTCCTTCTTTTTTTTGGAGGAAGATTAGCCCTGAGCTAACATCTGCCGCCACTTCTCCTCTTTTTGCTGAGGAAGACTGGCCCTGAGCTAATATCCGTGCCCATCTTCCTCTACTTTATATGTGGGACGCCTGCCACAGCATGGCTTGACAAGCAGTGGGTAGGTCCACACCCAGGATCCAAACGGGCAAACCCCAGGCCACTGAAGCAGAACGTGTGCACTTTACTGCTGCGCCACCAGGCCAGCCCCTGTCTTTTATTTCTTAAAGATGGTTTTCCAGTTACTATTGCTGTATAAGAAATCACATCCTTGGGGCTGGCCCGGTGGTGCAGCAGTTAAGTTCACATGTTCTGCTTCGGCGGCCTGGGGTTTGCGGGTTTGGATCCCTGGTGTGGACCTACGCACCGCTTGGCAAGTCATGCTGTGGCACGCATCACACATATAAAGTAGAGGAAGATGGGCATGGATGTTAGCTTAGGGCCAGTCTTCCTCAGCAAAAAAGAGGAGGCTTGGTGGCAGATGCTAGCTCAGGGCTAATCTTCCTCAAAAAGAAAAAAAAACAGAAATCACATCCCAAAACTTAGTAGCTTAAAACAGCGACAATCATTATTATCGCTCATGGTTTCTGTGGGTGGGGAACTTGAGAAGGACTCCGTTGGTGGGTCTGCCTCAGGTTTTTTTCATCGGGTTGCAGTCAGCCGGTGGCTAGAGCTGGAACAGTCGGGGCTGGCTGGGCCTTTCTTTCTCTTCACGTAGTCTGAGGGTTTCTACACAGGTCTCCCCATGTGGCTGGTTTGGGCCTCCTCACAGCATGGCAGCTTCAGGGCAGTCAGACTGCTTACGTGCCTCCAGCCTCCATCACGAGTGTTTCCACAAAGCAGAAACTGCCCCACCTTTTCGGACTTTGGCTCGGAAGTCCTGTGGCATTACTTCCACCACATTCTATCAATTACGAGTGAGTCACGGCCTCCTTAGACTCAAGGAAAGAGGACAGAAACCTCACCCCTTGAGGGGAACAGTATCAGTCACCATCTAAGAAAAGCATGCGGGATGGGAGAGATGGTTGTGGCCATTTTTGGAAACACATTCTGCCACACTGTGGCAGTAAGCGTCACCTTGACATTGTGCGTGTCTCATAATTCCATTATTTGAAGACGCTGAGGGCCTTGTGAGTTCTGCTGGTTCTCATTCACTCTTTCTTGTGTGCCTGATTATCTTTGCATGCTGGTCATGGTATTAAAAAAATTATTTTTAGGAAAAATTGTTTTGACGCCTAGAATGAAGGTACTTTCCCCCAGAGTAGATTTGGTTTGCTTCTTTCCGCTGCCTGGGGATACTACCAGTTAGAGGTCGCTTTTAATCCAGTTCAAGGTTTGAATGAAAGGTTAATTTTTCTGGGATTGGCAAATGCCCGCAGGGCAAGGGGGGCTTGACCTCTCTGTTAAATTAACCTTGATTTTTCACTTAATTTTTGGCCTTATAGTAACTGCTTAAAATCTTGTGAGCTATTTGATGCAAGATTTTAAAATATGTTTTTATCTAGAATTTATAGGTTTCAGGAGGCAGGTTTGTCCTAGACATTTAGGCCACCCGAGCTGTGTCCGCTAATTTCCGTCTTTTCTCAGGTTCCTCTCTCCGATGGTGGCTGTCTCTGCTTCAGGGGTTTTCAACTCAGAGATTATAAGCAAATGTACTAGCCATAATTGGGCTTGTGAACTTGAAAATGAACTCAAAACTTTGGGTGTGGGTGGGGCTTTTTTCTGGAGACAGGGTTCCCAGCTTCCCCTCATGGGGATCCAGGATATAGAACAGTCAAGAGCCTATCTCCTGGGGCATTTTTCTCTCTTGGTGTCTCTGGGGAGGCCCTGGTCGTTGGGGGCCATGGGAAGCAGAGCAGTAGAGCAGGGAAGGTGGGTGAAGATGCCCACCCAGACCCTCTCCTGCCCGTAGGATGTGTCATCCAGTGACAGTGACTCAGACTGGGATGGGGGCAGCCTTCTCCCCCCACTCCTACCCCACGACCACCTGGGCTTGGCTGTCTTCTCCATGCTGTGCTGCTTCTGGCCTGTGGGCATCGCCGCCTTCTGCCTGGCCCAGAAGGTCAGTCTGTGTGTGGGATTGGGAGGGGACTGGATATAAAAGAGAAAAATGCATTCAGAACAAAAGAAAACAAAACAGAGGAGCTATGCCTGGGGGACAAAGAGAGATGGGAAGAAGGATTGGAAGAGAGACATTCAGGGTTAAAATGAGGTGTGATTCACAGCTGAGAGGTGGTGAAGAACCTGAACTCGGATCCTAGGTCTGCCATGCTCTGTAAGATTTGGGGCAAGCCACTGAATTTCCCTGTGCCTCATTTATCTCATCTGTAAAACGGGAATAGTTCCTACCTCAGGGTCATTGTGAGGATTCCAACTCAAATGAGTTGGAACGGTGGCATCTAGTAATAGTATATTTTTATTAGTCACCAGTATCCTCAGTGCCCAGCTGTGCGTGACCCACAGTGGTACTCCCTAGTTTTTTTGGTAATATATGAATAAATACAGGGATGTGTCGGGTGGAGGAGGGTCTAGGGCTGCGGGGAAGCAGGGTGGGGTGAGGGGATGTCTGAGTCACCGCTGCCCAACGCCTCCACAGACCAACAAGGCTTGGGCCGAGGGGGACGTCCAGGGGGCAGGGGCCGCCTCCCGCCGCGCCTTCCTGCTGGGGGTCCTGGCCGTTGGGCTGGGCGTGTGTACTTACGCGGCCGCCCTGGTGACCCTGGCCGCCTACCTCGCCTCCCGAGACCCGCCCTAGTTGCCCCCGCGGCCCCCACTGTGAACCCAGAGGCCGGCTGCCCAGCGTGCTCGCGGTCAGAGTGGAGAATCGGGTGGATGAGGCGGCGGCGGCGGCAGCATCCGGAATCGGGAGTGAGCTGGACCACCCCCTCGCCTTCCTGGCCGCCACAACGTGAGATTAAACACCAGACACTGTTGCAGCCAAACCTGTGTCTGTCTGTGTGTGTGGGAAGGTGGAAAGAGCTGGGAGTGTCTGAGACCAGGGACAGGCCAGGGTGACAGGCTGTCCCAGGGGTGTTCCTGGACACCTCGGAGCCGGAGAAGGGGGAATTTGAGGGTGGAAGGTTTCCAAATTGGAGAACGTTCTCTTCACAACGGGGGTGGTCAGTAGAGAATTGGAGAGAGCCGGTTCCAAGTCCTTACTCCTCCACATAGGAGCCCAAGTGACTTCTCTTTGAGCTTCCCTTTTCCTCATCTGCAAAATGGGACTAATTTTCTCCACACCTCGGAGCTGTGGCGAGGACCAAACCAGTCATACATGTGAACAGCAGTCTCTCCCTGAGCTCTTTTGACAGCAAGTGGCAGAAATGCAACTCGAACTGCCTTACGTAACAACACGGAAGAAAGCTGAGGTAGAACCCGATTCAGGAGCTCAAATGAAATGGTCTGGTTTCTCCATCTCTTGGCCCTCTTCTCCGCTGTTGGCTTCTTTCTGTCAGGGCTCCCCCTTCTCAGGGAGAAAAAGGGCCTGGCAGCTCAGGGACGCCAGAGGTTCTCTTTCCCAGGCACCCTCTCACTGGCCCATCTGGGGTGGGAGGCAGCCCCATCAAAGGGCCTGAGATGGGGAGAAGGATGGAGCACTAAGGCATCAAAGTGCTGGGACCCAGCAAGCAAAACCGACATGAGCGCTCAGCTGAGGCGTACAGGAAGTGCTCACTAAATGGGTCCAGTAATCGCAAATAATGGGGTGAGAGGTGGTTTAATTTCCTCTCTGTTGAGTGTCATTCCAGTGGCTGTTACTAGAAGAAAACACTAGTCCCCATTTGGCCTTCTCCTAAGCATCTCATGGAGCATAATTTCAAGCTAATGGTATTTGTGTGTTTCCTTCCTGGTTACTGGGGCAATTGTGGGAACTGGGTGAGCTAGTTCAAGCATGTGCAGGGTGCAGCACAGGGCCCACCAGATGTGCCATTTTCACCGTAAACCCCCAGACAGCAGCAGCAGACAGGATCTGGCAGCCATGTGGCCCAGCTGTGAGAGTTATTCCTCGTGGGGCGCTCACATGTTCTTGGCTCCTGCCCACTAAATGGGGGGGAGGGGGCAGTCAAAATGCCTCCCATAGTTCCATACGCCCCCTGGGGGTGCCACCACCTGACTGAGAACCAATGGGCCTCAGCCACTTTTGTTTACAGATGGGAACCGCAGGCAGCCCAGTGTGCTGGTGTCTCCCTGGCTTTGTCTGAACAGTCTGGGCTCTGAGTGGGGCTGAAGCTCCACCACTGACCAGCTGGTGACCTCCACTGACTAGCTGGTGACCTCTGGCAGCCAACTGGCTTCTGGGCTTCTTTCCTCATCTTAAAAGGGGAACTATAACAGCCCTGCCTCCTGGAATTGTTGGGCTGGTAACAGCAGCGCTCAGAGTCAGACTCCTCTCTGAGGCCTGTTCCTTCCCTCTCCTGCCCTTACATGCTCCGCTCCAGCCACACTGGCCACCTTGCTGGTCCTTGACCTTCCACAGGGCTCTGCCTGAGGCTTGGCTTGTCCCTCACAGATGAGCTGGCTCCCTGGCCTCCTCCTGGGCTTCCCTCAGATGTCCCCCTCTCCTCCCTCTCTCCGTGAAGCCATTGCTGACTGATGTATTAAATTTGCCCTGCCCAAACCCTTCTTCCCCACTTTCTGTTTTTTCATAGCATTTACCACCACCTGACAAACACCAATTTATTTGTCCATCACCCCACTACTCCTTGAACCTGGGACCTAGGTCTCTGGATCACTTCTGAGTCCTCAGCACCTAGCAGGGCCTGCACACAGTGGGTGCTCAACAGGTATCTGAATGAAGACTGAACGAATTCATTCAACAAATGTGCAATCCTAGGATGTTTCTGGTGTGTGTGGGGGGCGGGATGAGGTCTGTGCCCTCTGGATCCAGGGGCTGTAGCTACTCAGCAGGACCACTGGCTCACCCAGGCACACAAGGACAGAGGCAAGGCTGGGTCACTGGTTTATTTTGCGCTGGAGGGAGTGGGTGGTGGCAGCAGGAGGGCACCCTGCCCCAGCTTGCCTCAGCTCTTGGAGTAACGCCTCTGTAGCGATTCCCGGTAGAAGCGGAAGACATGTTGCGAGGCGGCCTGGGCTGCAGCCAGGCACTGCTGGAGCTGGGAAGGGGAGAGACTGGTCACTGCTGGGGGACTATCCCTGCACCCACACACACACGGCCTCACTGACCCAAGAGGTTCCCCTCAACCCGACCTGATTCCCAGAGCCCCCCAACCTACCACTTCCCCCTCCGAGCCCCTCCCTCCAAGGTGAGGCAGATGCTAAGGGGATTCTCTCAAGTGCATTTCTTTCTTTCCCACTTCATGAGCTTTCTTAGAGGGAAAGGGCAGAAAAAAAGAGGTGAGGGCTTCAAGGGTAAGATTCTGACAGCTCCAGGTCCTCAGACCAATGGGATCAGGCATCCTGACACGGGAAGAGATCCCAAATTCACAGAGCTCCAGAATTGGAGAGATCTGGAATTTTAAAGCCACAGGCCGTGACTCCAAATAATCTTAAAAGCCACGGAATGCGAGACCCCAAATTTTTACTGCCACATATTCCTAGATTCACAGGAGGTCCGGTTGGCAATGCTCTTGGAGACCATTTGGCCCAAGAGTTTCCAAACTGTTCTTCAGGGATCTGGAATTCTGGGGGTGCACCACTCTGAGCTGGAAGTTGGGGGGGGCCTTTCAGATGACCCCCCCCTTTTTTTTGAGGAAGATTAGCCCTGAGCTAACTACTGCCAGTCCTTTTTTTTTGGTTGGAAGAGGCCTGGTCCTGAGCTAACATCCGTGCCCATCTTCCTCTACTTTCTATGTGGGACGCCTACCACAGCATGGTGTACCAAGCGGTGACATGTCCGCACCCGGGATCGAACGGGTGAACCCCGGGCCACCGAGAAGCGGAACGTACAAACTTAACTGTGGGGCCGGCCTCGCCCTCACCTAATTTCAAAACTGAGCTCCTCCTCTCTTATCTTATAATCGGGCTTCCCTTTAAAATTCTCACAAAGGTTTCTGTGGCTACAAAGTTTGAAAACTCCTATGTAGAGAAAGGATGCGAGGAAGGGGCTCTCCATAAACCTCTCAGGGTCGGGTGCAGAGTTAGGATAAGACCTCATGTTGGACGGGAAGGAAAGATCTGGCGTTCATCCCCCTCCACGTGCTGGTACCTCAGCATCGGAGTAGAGCCCCTTGGTGGTGGACATCAGCAGCTTCCGTTCCACGCTGTCAAGCGCAAAGGTCAGGACTGCTCGGGCCTCCTAGGGACGAGGGGAAGAAGGTGGGGGACCTGGGCCTCGCCCTTCCCGGAGCCAGGCACTCGGGCGTCAAGTGTCACTGTTGTTTCATCATTGAACCACCTCTTCCCTGCTTCCCCGGGAACGCTCTGTGTAATTACGCCTTTCGTGTAATTGCTCCCCACGCCTGATTCCAACCGCATGGTTTTGACGAGGGCTTCCAAGCGCAGTATTCCTGCCCCATAGGAGTAGCCACAATGCGTCATTTACCTGGTGCCCACCAGCCTCCCGGCCCCTTCCACACTCTGTACCACAGGGCTGGAAGCAGACAAACTATTTCCCAGACTCCCTTGCCAGTTCAGTTCTGGCAGTAATGTGCTGGCAGACTGGAAGGAGGGGGAGACAGCACCAAGGTCCACACTCGGGACAGTCAGGGCAAAAGCAAGATTTCTTCTGTGCATCCAGAACCAACTGTGACAACGCCTTCCACAGCAGAGAGCAGGAGCTGGCTCCCTGGCTTCACCCAGGCTGGTAGAACCTCTCATCACTGGGTGTCCCCACCTCGTCCTTTTTTGCTCTTTCAGCTCTTCCAAACTACTGCAACCAGTTCCCTGCATCCAATTCCCTGCCTGAAATCCCCCAAGTGGTTTGTGCTCTCCTGACTGGATGCGACTGTTACAGCACTGGGCGAGTGACTCAGAGTAACCAGAGCCCTAGGACACCGTGAACTTGAGCTGCTGAGGCAAGCTCTCTTCCCTCCTCTGCTTTTGAGGCTCTTAAGGGGGAAGCATGGAGCTTAAGGGGCCAGTCACAGCCTCAGGAGAGACGCTGGCCAGAGAGGATGGAGCCGATGTGCAGAAAAGAACAGGGACTGAGAAACGAAGCAAAAACAACCCTGTTGGCGTGTGAGGCCCTGGCTCCTAGCCAGACCTCTGTTCTTTCTGAGTTTGCTCCTGAATGTCAGTAAATTCCCTTCTTGCTTAAGTGGGTTTGAGCGGAGTGTCTAGCAATTGCCTGGATGAACAGAGAAGAGCTTGCCAGTTGGGACTAAGGTGGTATGAGTGAAATGTTGTGGAGAAGCAGGAGTGTCTGCCACGGCCCTCACCACCTGGGCTTCATACCTACCTTTTCCTGCTTGGCCGTGGGGTCCAGCATGAGGGTCCCATCAGAGTCCAGGGCACAGGTGACCCCACAGAAAAGGGACCGCATGGGCACACCTGCGTCCACCAATGCCATGCAGGCGGCATTCAGGCAACAGGCCAGGAGCTGAGTGACACGGGGAGTGGTTAAGAAGTTTCTACTGTAGGGCTGGCCAGCAGAACGTAGCCTCACCTCCGTTCACCCTAACAGTGCTTGTGGCGGACTTCACTACTTGGTCCACGAAGGCAGTAGGGCAGAATAGTTCTAAGTGGGTCTGGGATCAAGTGACCTTGAGTTCCAGAACTGACTGCCACCTCTCAGCTGTGTGACCTTGAGCAAGTGACTTCCTCTCTCTGAGCCTCAATCAGGGATCATAATGAGATTCCATAGATGTGTACTGGCATGTGCCAAGCACCTTCAGGGAAACTGAGGGCCAGAGAGGGGAGAAACTTTCCAAGATCTCATGGGGAGGGAGTGGCAGAGCCAGGCCTGGAGCTGGAGAATCTAGCAGGCAGCCACTACCAGGTGGGCAGGTGGGGTGACAGAGGGAGGAGTCATGACCACTGCCCTCAG